GCTGCCTTCCGAGCGGAGGACTCGAGCGATCCGTTGACCCTATTTCACGGACGCCCTCCTCTTGATATCACGGGCGAGCTGGTGGTAGCACGGGACGGGCTTTTCCCGTACAGCGTTAGGTGTCTGCGGGCAATAGTTCCGACGTTCGTAGTAGGGAGCGTCTTTGGAGGTATTGGTGGAGTGGTCGAGACATACCTGGCCTATCAGGATCTCAAGATCCTGGCGAGAAGGCCTGCCGACCTAGACTACATCTATTATTCGCTTGCGACCGGTGGACCTCGTTGGGGAGACGAGAGGGTTCAGCTTATAGAGCTGATCCGCTCGATAGATGACGAGTGGCCCCAGTCTCCATGCGTTTGGGATTGGCTAGACCGTGAGCTCCGAGCAGGCCCCGAGTACGTGACCTGCATCGGGCGGCTCTTCTCAGACGACTGGGGGAGTTGGTGGAGTGAGGACGTCGGGCGACCTCTGATATACGGCCATCAGTTGACGGAATACTACCAGGCCATAGGACAGGCGCCATACCGCGTCGAGGACGAGTTTGACGACGAGGGTTGGGAGCGAGAGGACGACGAGGAGCTGTGGGAGCCAGACTSGGTCGACCCAGAGAGTGAGGTTGACGAGGAGGAGATTGACGTTATAGACGCCCATTTTCCCAGGATAGGAGTAGCGGTCCGGGCGTAGGAGGTAGAGGAGCACATCAGGGCGACGRTTGAGTGAGCCTGACTACTGAACCTACTCGACCATACTGGACGAGAGTGCRAGAGTTGTCTGAAGGGTTAGCAACGTCGAGAGATGGGGTGCATCGGAGGGAGTAGAGTGATGCTGACCGAGAGTAGGAGGAGAGATGAGGAGTGATTCAGTGGCCTGGTTAGCTTATGTTCTCTCATGAGAGTCCGAATCGTATAGTGTGAAGAAGCTTGTGGGACCCAGGGAGACGGCGGTTGGATACGACATACCACTTCCTGTGGCGTTAGAAGAGGCAGGGCGTGTACCGATACGATACTTGGGAACGTGGCTCGCAGAGGGGCTCTTCCTTTGGACAGTGATACTACGAGACGAACGACCAGAAAGGACTCATGATCTAGAAGGGGTCGGACATCTGATAGCGGATACAGCACACAATTTAGAGATAGGACTAACGCTCGCAGGGGGGAGCAGAAGTTGGTGGAGAAGCGAGTTGTTGGCCAGAGTGATCGTTAATCAGCAATTGGCGAGACTCTCTGGAGGGAGGACGAGTTGGAGCTGCTTGGTATACGGTCCACCACATCCGACCCTCAACCCGAGAAAGGATTGGCGATTCGGACTTCCTACCTTCGTGATAGGGCAGACCTATGGGAGCGTGGATCGTTTGAGTAGAGCAGTGGACCACACACTTTACGCGCTCTGGGAGGGCTTAGCGCCCCACTTCAAGGAATTATACTATGCCATTTGTGTGAGGTGGGGGCCGCCCAGTAGAGAGACGCTTGACGACATCATAGACGTTACTAGCTGGGTGGACTGTCTGAGGCCAATCGATCTGATTAGGTACTGCAGGAGACGGGCAGAGATCGATTACGCGGGGCTAGAGGATGTGAGATTTCTCTTTGAGGCCGCAACTTAGGGAATGTCGGGAAGGACGGCCACGGTGATGCGTGTAGAAGAGCAACTGGTGAGCACAGGATACACTGTGACAGTACTTCTCCGAGCGTACGTAGACGAGGACTTGACAGCGAGTGAGTGCAGACAACGAACTAGGGATTTGATCCACGAGCATAGAGCTGATGTACTGGCGCGAGTGACCTTCTAGACCTCGATTTCCTATGATGTGATGATATGGTCTCGTGGTTATATGCGCGCGGAGCACTACCACGATGAGACGGTAGCGGAGGCTAGAGCGAGGGTGAGAGGATGAGCTGGAAAAAGATGTGGACTGAGTATGGAAGAGGAGAGTAAGGCAGTCGAAAGAGTCAGAAAGCGCGTTAAAGAACCACTCTTGAACCAGGTAAAGAAGTTGGGGGACAAGTTAAGAGAGATCTGGTCGTGTCAAGACGAGGGCAAGTTGCGTAGGACTGAACTCGTGACGAGAGACTTAAAGAGTGTGCTTAGGGAGGAAAGAGAGATTATCCAGGCATGGAGATCAGATTTTTTGGAGAGGGTAAAGGCTAGAAGCGTATCACGCGAAGAAACTAGTGAGCGATCTGCAGAGAGCGAGACAAAGGAAGACAAAGTAACGCAGGGAAGTAGCGACAGGACATGAGCGGGACAGCAGTACACACGACGGATCGGTATTCATTGCATGTGGTAGGGAGATTAGACGGACCATTAGTGTTAGTGATCATAGAACTCCAGCTCCATACCAGACTGTGCATAGTTGAGGAGGCAGAGTGTGTCCGCCGCGCGCTGCGTGAGGCTAGGGGAACAGGACTTTGGATTGGAATAGAAGGAGGACGGAGGATAAAATACGTACTCCAAGTGACACCTTTCAAAGGGCGGTCTCGGATAAGGGCATGGTACGAGACGACCAGAGAGGCTGAGAGGTTGAAGATAAGCGAAGCCAGGAAAGCTGGAGAGTTAGGGAGAGTTGTAACGGATGGTGCAATACTCAAGGTGTTAGCCGCTCACAACCGGTACTGGAAGGAAACGATAAAGACTTTAGAGGAGATAGACGAAGGAGGAGATAATGAGGACTTTGAGACATTTTATGACATATTAAAGCGGTCGGCGATGAGGTTACAAGTCGTTATAGCGCTAACCTACCTCAGCTGTTAGACAGATGACCTCGTAGCCGTTGAGGAGATAAGGTAGTAGAAATAGAAATCGGAAGCTCTTGGAAGGATAGAGGAAGCTAGAAAGGTCGATGGGCGACATTGGACGACAGTAGGAGGACTTTTAGCGGGCTAACCGATTCAGACAGGGCTAGGAGAACTAGCAAGGAGGACGGAGAGAGACGCTCGGGGACTCTTGAGGGGTGTTGATCAGGAGACATTGGCTAGGTTTGAGACTGCGATCAGCCTCCGAAGGAGAAGGAGAGGTTACTTAGACACAGGGATTCTTGGGATAGAGAGAGAACACGAGATCTGCGGCCGGTACGGGTTACTGGAGGTGGTAATCAAGGCAATCGAGAAGCTAAGTTTGGAGGCGGACGCGAGCTGTGACAAGGACACAGGTCCGGGCTGCAGCGACTGTCATAGGGTCGGGTTGTAACAGTTGGCAAGAAAACCTAACTGCGTCTTCAATGGAACCCGACACGATGGGGCCACAACCGACCATGGGCGAAGCGGGAGAGGAGTATAGGACATCGCCCGATCGAGCTCTGAGAGAACTGAAGGAACGAATTAGGCAAGAAGCACCGCTGAGATGGGCTGACCAAACCAATGACGGAGGGCCCGAAGTAAGAGGCGAACCAGTTGCGACAGAGCCGCAGGAGGCTCTAAGGACAGGTACCTCGAGCGGACGACGAGAAACGACGAGACGACGCTCCCCCGAGTACGAGCGGAGAGACACCATAGCGGATAGGCACAGAGACGACTGGAG